ACATACTTTGTACATATCGATGGTCCTGTGCAATAACGACACAATTCAAAATTCAAAAAATAAAACCCTTACTACTGTTAAGTGGCTCATATATCTAATCCACGTCGAATCCATGTCTAATATTTAGTACTTACTTTAGCAATCCTTACTGCTTACTTTAGTAAAGGTTGGAAATGGAGTAGACGAGGATTACAGACAAGAGCCACTTAACAGTAGTAACAGTTTATATTTTTTGAATTTTGAATTGTGTCGTTATTGCAGAGGACTATTGATGTGGATGTGTATAACATTGGTGGTGACGGCGTTGAAGGTGACGGATGTTGGTGGTGGCCTTAAAGTAATAGTGGCGATGTTGATGGTGCGATTTTGCTGGTGCCGGTGTTGAATGATGGTGGTACGATGTTGGTGGTGGCATTAAAGGTGATGGAGGAGGTGTTGATTGATGATGAGTGCGATATCAGCTGGTGACGGCGTTAAATATGATGGTGGCGATGGTAATTTAATTGTTGAAAATCTGTAATAACGAGAAAATCAATTAAAATGCACAAATAATAATAATAAATAAGTAATTTACATATGTTTATACATACCTTAAAAATAATGATGCAAAGTCAACGGCAACGGCAACGGGAAAATAAAATGAAATTTGAAATATCTATAAAACAAGTCATTTTTAGCAAAAAAAAACGACTTAAAAAAAATATATATATATCTCTATATATTTCATGATTCAATGATCGGATCTAAACCAAATTAGTATGGGACCACCTTTCCGTCTGAGACACTACCTTTCCGTTGCAAGAAATCGGTTGACGTGGTCCAAAGTTATGCGGTAACATACATACAAAAAAAAAAAAAAAAAATCCGACGAACTGATTACCTCCTCCTTTTTTGGAAGTCGGTTAGGGAAATGTTTAGCTATTTGTACAACGATTTAGGAATGGGGGCGGAGGGGGAGGGGGTGTTGGCCCCACAAATCCCCCCTAAACGAAAGAGGATTGATGCCGCTTTATAAAAAGTCTACTACGTAGAATTCTCCTTTCTGTGTGACATAACTGGGGCTACCGCCCCAGTGATGTAACCTTGGGAAAGGATGAGGTAACTAGAATTCCCTTTCTGTGTGGTAAACCTGGGGCTGCCGCCCCAGTGATGTCTATTTTGGTTACTGGGTGTTTTATAAAAATATCTTGTATATAAAAATGTATATACAAATGTATAACAAAAATTTGCAACAAATACCATATTTCCAACCGACATTATTGTTAAATTAGTGCACAGATTTAGTAAATTAAATTTTTGTAATAAAGCGTGAACTGTTGTCTACAAGTGTGTGTAAAAGTTTTTTGATTCGATTCACGCGTTTGGGCACAGCAACCCAAAATCGTTGTACAAATTCATTAACAGTACCCGTCGGTTAATTATAAAAAAATATTTATACTCTAAAATTTTTATCAAATGTGAAATTTTTCGTCAAAGCCAATGATTCAATAATTAAAGGTTTGCTCATTAGTGGCATTAGAGTTTTGACACTCCCTTAGCTCCCTTACAAAAGCTTTGCGACACACACACGAACCCACACACAGTGCCTTGCTAAGGGAGCCGATTTTGTCAAGAGGGAGCGAGAAATCTGTTTTTTGAGCAAAGCTTTTATTATTGAATCATGGTCAAAGCCTACTGTCATAAAAACTGCCATATTTCTTACTCGCTTCAACGCACAGAATTCCCATGATTCAATAATACAAGGTTGTGTAATTTGTGACAGCTTTTTTACACTCCTTTATCTAGATTTGTATCTTGGAAGTAGGAGAAAGGGGAAGAATGTGATCGCATTTTGCGAAAACGGTAGTAGAATGGTACTACAAAAAGTACGCAAAGTATGCAATTAGAAGTAAAATGTGTATTATTAATTCTATGCGAATTTGCAATATATTTGGTGTTTTAATGGAAATACCAAACAATACATAAAAATATGCATTATTGATTTAAGTTATTCGTCATTTCCGGGAAAAAATCTAGAATACCGACCGTTCAGCTATGCAAAAACGAAAAATGCAGATCAATAGAACTTTTTATGCTCATTTCAACCATGCCAAAATGATTTGGCGCAAGTAAAAAATGAAGAGGTTCTAGAAGGTTAAAGTTCAGTTTTTAGATATTTTAAATATTAATATCATATGAACTTTATGACAGATTAAAAAACTAATGACGTCACCATAAAGGTAATTAATTTGTTCTTCAGCTGATGTACATATTTTATAGCTTTTTGTATTTTTAAACCAAAACCACTAAAAAACGAACAAATATTATTTTTTCATGAAATAACCTTTTTTGAAAAAACTGCATAATTAATGGTAAAGAATTTTATATTATTTAGAAAGTACAAGTTATTATCTTTAATTCGATATTACATATTTTATCATGATCTACTTTTGGGTTTCAACAATTTAGTGATAATAAAAAATACAAATAAACCTCTTATATCTTCTTTTTTTTACCTGCGCCAAATAAATTTGGTATCGTTGAAATCAGCGTAAAAAGTTCTATCAATCGGCATTTTTGGTTATTTTATAGCTAAACGGTCGCTATTCTACACTTGGTCTAGAAAATTACGCAAACGAAGGTGACGCCAACGAATATTTAGTATGAAGAATTTTTGGTTTTACTACTACCATCACTAGAAACTACCCTACAAGACATTGCTGAGCACTTTAGGCAAAATTCTCACACATTTACACTTTTGTTTTTGTAGTACGGCATAAATGAGTAGTTTGACTATTAGTACTGAGGACTTTCTGATGACAACATTGAGGGGAAAGTACTCAATTTTTTCCCATGGCCTGAACGAAAATGAGGACTTTGATAAGCACTTTTGTGATTAGGGATAATGATAATATGAGTACTCATATGATACTCAGCTGTCTTGTAGGGTATAGAGTAAGCAACATTCTGCACAAGTAAAGGAGCCGATTTTATGTGTGGGAGCGAGAAGACTGTTTTATTACAAAACCTTTATCCCTGCAAGACAGCTGAGCATCAAATAAGTGCTCATTTTATCATTATCACTAATTACAAAAGTGCTTATTAAAATACTCATTTTTGTTCAGCCGATGGGATAAAACTGAGCACTTTCCCCTTGTTGGTGTAATATTTTACCTCTTCTTACTAATTGAAAACTTTGATTAATGAAAAATATATCTGCTCTGCTCTAGAAACTACCAAACTGCTTATTTTCGTTTTTATAAACACATCAGTGCTAATGAATAAAGTACTCATTGTTGTCATGTAGCAAGTCCTCAGTGCTAATAAACAAACTACTCATTGTTGTCGTTATAAACTCCTCAGCACTAATAATCAAACTACTAATTTTTGTCGTTATAAACTCCTCAGCACTAATAATCAAACTACTCATTTTTGTCGTTATAAACTCCTCAGTACAGGAAAAAACAAATAAGTAGAAAATCAAAATTTTTACTTTTAAAAGTGAATTGGTTTATTTAAAAAACGTTTATTAATACAAAACTCTTATAGTACATATGTGCAAACAAAACAAATAACATACTTTGTACATATCGATGGTCCTGTGCAATAACGACACAATTCCCAATTCAAAAAACAAAACCCTTACTACTGTTAAGTGGCTCATATATCTATCTAATCCATGTCGAATCCTTATCCTTACTTTAGCAATCCTTACTGCTTACTTTATAAAAGGTTGGAAATGGATTAGACGAGGATTACAGACAAGAGCGACTTAACAGTAGTAACAGTTTTTATTTTTTGAATTTTGAATTGTGTAGTTATTGCAGAGGACCATTGATGTGGATGTGTATAACATTGCTGGTGCAGGCGTTGAAGGTGATGTTGGTGGTGGCCTTAAAGTAATAGTGGCGATGTTGAAGGTGATTTTGCTGGTAGAGGCGTGGAATGTTGATGGTGCGATTTTGCTGGTGCCGGTGTTGAATGATGATGGTACGATGTTTGTGGTGGCATTAAAGGTGATGGAGGAGGTGCGTGCGATATCAGCTGGTGACGGCATTAAAGATGATGGTGGGTTTTAATTTTAATTGTTGCAAATCTGTAATAACGAGAAAATCAATTAATATGCACAAGTTAAGTAATTTACATATGTATGTACATACCTTAAAAATAATGATGCAAAGTCGACGGCAACGGCAACGGGAACATAAAATGAAATTTGAAATATCTATAAAATTATAAAATTTATTTTATCAAATGTGACATTTTTCGACAAAGCCTACTGTCATAAAAACTGCCATATTTCTTACTCGCTTTAACGCACAGAATTCCTATAAAAGTAGGAATTCCGCTCTAACAAATGAAAAATGTTTCACATTTCGAATACCGAATTTGTAAATGTGTGCGTGATAGCTAAAAAGTTGCGAAAGTGTGTGTAACGCTGTCGAATTTGAGGGGAAATTGCTCAGCCATGGCTTGCAGGGATATTATTGAATCATGCAGAATTCCTATAAAAGTAGGAATTCCGCTCTAACAAATGGAAAATTTTTCAAAATTCGAATACCAAATTTGTAAATGTGTGCGTGTGATAGCTAAAAAGTTGCGAAGGTGTGTGTAAATCTATCTATATTTGAGGGGAAACTGCTCAGCCATGGCTTGCAAGGATATTGTCAACTGTAACATACGACAAAGTGTCTGTAAATAAAATTAGCAATAAATGTAATTTTGTGTAATTTTTTTTAATAATAAGTTCCAATATTTCCTTAAGCTAGAAACAACATATGTATACAATTTTAAAAGAAATCTACCGTGACGTTTTCAAGAAAGCAGACTTTAAACTTCAATCGCGATTTCCCAGAAGTCGACAAATGTAACATACGACAATCATTTGTTCAAGCGACGATATATAACTAAATTCTTTCTTAGGCGGTTATTGCTTATAACCACAGATACATATAAAAAAACCGGTTTGGAAAAACCGAGTCAATCACCATACCTACCTTAAAAAGCTTTAAACTTGAAAATAAATATTATTTTTTATGTTTATTATAAATATGCAAAATTATAAAATCCCTCTCTCAAAGTAGTATCTCTTTCATTAATATTATATATTAGGAATGAGTAAAAGTATAGCATTCAAAAAAACACTAAGTGGATGCTTTATAAAGTTTTTTAAGCTTTCTTTTCTTCTTCAATAACTTCCTTCGTAGGCAGAGGGTTTTTCTCGCACGTCTCGGTGTGTTTTAATTTTGTAGAATCAAAATTTTCAATACCAGCAATAAGTTGATTTTTCTCCTTTTCCTTTTCAATTGCTGAAAATAACAAAGGAGATATATTATACATTTTGTAAAAAAGATTATATTGGCACAATATTTAGGTTAAATAAAATAATTTAAAAGAAAATAACAGCAGGAAAACTCTCGGGTCAGATATAATTTTATCATATATAGTGTTTCCATGGGAAGGTCCACCACGACAAAAAAAAAATAAAAGTCTTATATCCAACGTATTTTTACGGGCCGATTTGTCTGCTTTTTAAAATATATACTGGCTATGTAAGTAGAATCATGTTTGCGTAAGATGGTCTTCCTAGGTGGCGCCAAGGTTGAGATATTTCGAAAACCCGTATTTATGGTCCGATTTGGTTAGAATTTGGCGTATGTAGTTGAAACATAATAAGTCATAGATTTCCAACAAATTCACCCTGAATTGGCGCTGAAGTCAAAATATAAAGTATATTCTACATAAAATACATATTTTATTTGCGTTAAAAATTCATTTAAAAGCAATATTAACAAAAATATAACGACGCGACGCTACGTCACGTGACGTTTCACACTTGGGGTTGTAAAAGAAAATTTAAACAAGTTGCATTAATTAAAAAAACTCTAAAAACTACTAGAATTGCTCCAAATCACATTAAAATAAGTTTCATGAAAATAGCCATCCACAATTCGCAGAATTTGCGATTTTGTAACAGAAGAAAAAATCTACTTTAATTTTTTTTGTCACGTATCGACACTCTCTTTAATGCTTATATTTCAGGACCAAGCAGTTAGATTGTTTTCATTTTTCGGTTAAATATAGAGCTAATTATGTGCTATACAATGGCCCAAAAAAGTTAAAGAAAACAAATACCTTGTTTGTATCACATTGAAACGTACGACTGTCACGTATGCGACCTATGGAAATACCCATATGTAATACTTCTATATTGGCAGTAAGCTAACTTCCCTACAAGACATCTGCCGGTCATATGACTGGTCATCTGACTGGCAGATCTGCAGCCTTTTGGGATCATATTTTACGTCAGAATTGCAGGGATTTCTGAAAAATCTGACCAGTTCTTTTGTGTACATGTGATTTTGCAACCCTTTCCATCATATGGCTTCGATTGATGTCAACTTAAGGTCTCTGCACATATGTGTAGGAACACATCCTTCGTACGTGTTTATTGATATATCTGTACTGTAGTGTTTTCGGACGGTACTAGCTCTTACTGCCAATATAGGAGTATTACATATATGAATTTTAAAACCCACGCCGAAATATTTAAAATCAATTTATTACACAGGCCAACAAAAATTAAAAAAAAATTATTATATATATAAAAAAATATTATACTGCAAATTTTACAGCTGTTTTTGTAGGTGAAAGTGTTAAAAAATCACAAGCTTGCTGGTATATTTGTTTTTTATGTAAGCATTTGTTGAAAATGCAGTATCACACAGAAATGTAAAAGTAAAAGTCAGTAGTATTTTTAATGCAATCTTGCGTACAGCAGTGTTTTCAGCATACACTTGCATCCAGAACTCTCTTGGCTACCTTCGTAGTATTTAATATTCAAAGTGCTGTCTTCACGTCTAAGCTTAATTTCAGAGACAACTATTATAAGATAAAAGAATAAAAGTCAAATATTTTATAACATATATAATGATAAATATTTTTGAGTCTTCAAAGATTTTTATTTTAAGACTTATATTATAAAAGTATTTTCGTAATAATTATGAGCACGAAAAAATTGGGCATAAATGCAGAATACGTACAATTCTCAAATTAAAAAAATTCATATGGGGATCGATAGAGATCATTGAGGTGAGTGTAACGATGTATTTTTTTTTTTTGGGAAACAACAACTACAACAATTATTAAAGGGGTTTCAGTGCCTTTTCTTCGCAACACAGAAAGAGAATTCTACTTTGTGAGGGTTATAATCCATAAGTGCGGCCGAAGGCCGCCTACGCAGAAAGGTGTTCTGTGCAAAAGGTGTTCAGCGCCTTTTCTTCGCAACACAGAAAGAGAATTCTACTTTTTGAGGGTTATAATCCATAAGTGCGGCCGAAGGCCGCCTACGCAGAAAGGTGTTCTCTGCAAAAGGTGTTCAGCGCCTTTTCTTCGCAACACAGAAAGAGAATTCTACTTTGTGAGGGTTATAATCCATAAGTGCGGCCGAAGGCCGCCTACGCTGAAAGGTGTTCTCTGCAAAAGGTGTTCAGCGCCTTTTCTTCGCAACACAGAAAGAGAATTCTACTTTGTGAGGGTTATAATCCATAAGTGCGGCCGAAGGCCGCCTACGCAAAAAGAAGTTTATACACAAAAACCCTGTATACTTTTTTTCCATATTAATTCCATTTTCGTGAAAACTATAAAAAGGTATATGTATAAATATGTATATCAAATTAAAGAGAATTAAATTCTCTATCAAAATTGTCCAATTCCTTGAAGAGGTTTTCGAGAGATATTAATTTGAGAAAATGCTTAATTTGAACTTTGACCTTTAATAATTGTTGTTGTTGTTTCCCAAAAAAAAATAAATATACCGTTATGTTCACCTCAATGGTCTCTATCGATCCTATTTTTTTTTTTTTAATTCGAGATTTGGTGGTATTGTGCATTTGTTCCAAAAATTGTTTAAGTCTCAAAAGACGGGACTTGTTCAGGAGCATTTCAGGATTAGTTGGGGCCCAGTTCGGGACCAGTTGGGGCTTGGTTTGGGACCCGTTCGGGCCCATATACAAAATTTTTCCGCACTCATAATTATTAGCAAGACTTTTTATTTATTTATTTATTTTTTAACGCCAATCGGCTTTATACATACAAAAAGAGAGAAAAAGTGAAGTGAACATAAAGTAGCATAACATAGGTATAATAAAATAACAAATTGCATGGTAATAAGTAGGAACCAACTAACAACATACTGCTCTCTTAATTTTGTACAAGAATGAATTGTGTGTAACTCCGAAGAAGTCTACTGCAGAACAGTGTTCGTTGACCAACTTGGCTACCCTATTACAGGGATCATTAATGACGTAGTTTTTTGATGATTTCGTCGTGAGGAGTAGACGATTCCTTCTCAGGCGTGTATAGGGGCAGACTATACTAAATTTTTCAAGTACCTCCGGAGAGTCAATGAACCCATTGAACACTTTGAAGAAGAATGATAGGTCGGATATCTGTCTTCGGCAAGTCAAACTTTTTAAGTTGAAACGTTCCATGACTGCATTAGCGTTAGTTTCTCGGCCGTTGCGACCTTCGAAGGCAGATACAAATTTACAGAACTTGTATTGGATATTTTCAATTCTGTTTACAAGCGTATCAGTATATGGAGACCATACAACTGAGTAGTATTCCAGTGATGGCCGTACTAGCGTTGAGTACAAGTTAATCAGTGTATCTGTATTGCTGAAATCTTTGCTCGATCTAATGATAAAGCTCATTGTCCGATAGGCTTTTAGACTTATACTGTCAACGTGGCTACTGAAGGTTAGCTTGCTGTCCATAATTACACCGAGGTCTCTCATAGTAGATACATTTTCTAATAAATTGCGGCCTAGTGTATATTCATAGCAACTTGGGTTCAGTGAGCGAGAAAATAACATTACGGTACATTTTTTTATATTCAAATTTAGTTTATTGACCAGGCACCAGTCATAAAGCTGGTTTATGTCCGATTGTAAAGCCTCACAGTCGGCGGCGCAAGTAATTTGTCGGAAAATTTTTAGGTCGCCAGCAAACATTAAAAACTCCGACTTAATATTGTTACCAATATCGTTCACAAAGATGTTGAAAAGCGCAGGGCTAAGGTGCGACCCCTGAGGTACTCCTGAGGTAACAGCGATCTCGTCGGAAGTGAACCCGTTCACTCTTACCACAAGTCTTCTGCCGCATAGGTATGAGCGGAACCAATCTAAAGTTTGTCGATTAGTCTGTCGAGGTCAACCGTATCGAAGGCTTTACTAAAGTCAGTGTATATACTGTGGACGTCGTAACCCATGCTCATAGACTAGATTATGTGGCTAACATACAAAAGCAAGTTCGTTGTGGTAGATCTTCCGCCGATGAAGCCATGTTGTTTAGATGTGAGGTTTTTCAGAGATGAAGATAATTTGGATAATACAATCTTCTCCAGCAGTTTTGCTAATGATGATTGCACACATATCGGTCTTTAATTATCTGCTTCCGATCTTGAGCCAGACTTGTGTATGGGGCATATAAAGGATAACATCCATAGGGAGGGGAAGTAACCAGTCTGCAAGGACTTGTTGAATATATGTGTAATGGGCTCGCATAGCCCAGAAGCGCAGTACTTTAATAGTTCTTTAGGCAGACCATCCGGACCAGCCCCTTTTTTTGTATCAAGAGCTAAAAGGTTATCAAAAACTTCGTCGAAGTTGACCTCCAGGCTGGACAAACTTAGGTCGTTACAATCAGTAATAGCAGCATTGGTCGCGACCGAGGCAGTTGTTTGGTCAGTCGGAAGGAGGCAAAGAGATTGCTAATTTCAGGGCCGCTGTTCGCCGTATATTTTCCCCAGGTTATCGTCGATGGAATGTCGAGATCGTTATTTTTCTTATTTTTGATGAAATTCCAGAATTCTGACGGGTTAGTTTTCAAAACGTTTTCTGTATTTGATATGTAATTTTTGTAACACCTAGCACTAAGTTGTTTGGCCTCGAACCTTAAACGACGAAACGTTTCGTATGAGTGTCTGGTCATTTGCCGCTTGTAGTTATGATGGGCTTCTTTCTTGCGCTTGGTAACCTGTATTAACTCCCTGGAGAACCAACAAGGATAGTTAGTACTCTTCCTTGTGTACATCGGCACAAACTGAACTAGACCTGTGTTAACTATATCATAAAACAAATTAACTTTATCGTCAATTGAGTCTATTTTGTATAGATCTATCCAGTTGGTCCTTAAGAAGAAACTATTAAGGGATACATAGTCGGCTTTTTTGAATGAGAAGGTGGGCGCGGAGTTGGACTTCAGGCTTGATCGAAAGACTATGTTTACTCCAATTGCGGGATGATGCTTATCTTCATCAACGATGGGGAAGATTTTTTCCACGGTTGCATCTGTATTACTGAAGCATAGATCGGCGAGCTACTTGGAAGATTATAATCACCCAAGATTAGAAGTTTTGAGTTAGGGTATTTGTCCGTTATACGATTTATTGATGAAATGTGGCTTGAGAATAGATCGATAGGTGAAGAAGGCGGCATATAAACACAGCCAATTACAAGATCATAACTCTGGCCTTTCACCTTGATGAATATTTGCTCCAATATGTTGTCTTCAATAATAATTTGTTCAGCCTGGATAACACGTTTGACTGCAATGAATACACCGCCTCCACGTTTATGTATACTAGTTGTGTGATCTCTGTCCTTTCTGAATATTTTATAGGTGCCGTCAATAACTTCGCCGTCGGAGATGGATGCGTGCAGCCATGATACGCTTATGCAGATGATCTCAACTTGAGTAGAAGCAGTAGTGGTTAGAAATGTGCTTAGTTTAGTTCTCAGGCCTCTGGCGTTCTGATAGTGCACATGGAGCCTCTGGACGGGGCTTATGCTTCCCTTGCGTTGGGCGAAAGGAAAATTTATCTACTATCTTCGGAACTCCATTTACGTACTTAATTGTTTTATTAGAATCGCCACTTAACAACAATGTGTTTAATTCGCCGCGTACTTTTTTCAGGTGTGCTTGTTGCGCTGGTGTTAAGTCCGGTTTTATACGTATGTCGGTGCAAGATGGTGGTTTAAATTTCAGTATTGATATAGCAGCACTTTCGGAGGGAGCTTCTATAAGCAAGGGGCGGGTTTTCCCAGCAAGTGGACGCCCCAACCTGCGAATTTTTAGCTCGGGAATTGTGTTTGAGAGCTCCTGTGGAATCAGTGGGGCCAAGACAGCACGATCATCGTTTAATCGTTCAGAACCAGATGGTTTTTTAGACTCTGGAACGTTGAATGCGACGACTTGTTTAGCTCGTTTATAACACTTTGGGCAAATCAATTTCAGCAATAAAATTACGCGTATACGACAAATAACAAAAAGTCAACACTAATCGAACGTTCAACTGTTCTTTTTTTTGGAAAGATGCGTTTTTTCCCCTCAATTTTTACAATGATTTTTACAATTTTCAGCGCGTACACGTTTTTATGTTCACTTGACGCCAGGGTTGCCGTATATGTCGCAAACTAAAAGTCTTTGAAGGCTTAAAAATGTTTATCTCAATGATAATTATTATGACAAGAATTTTATAATATAAGTCTCAAAATAAGTCTTTGAAGACTTAAAAATATTTATCTCTCTATAATTATTATGAAAAGACTCCTATTATATAAGTCTTAAAATAATAGTTATCGATGACTTAAAAAAATTTCGTCGAAAAATTTTGTCGTATTATCAAAAGACTTTTATAATTCTTACGAAACTTTTGATGACATTTTTAAAACTCCTCCATGAAATAATTTTTATTCTGGGTCTCTGCTTAATTTGTCATCTCAGTAGGTTTACTTTTCGGGTCATATGAAAACGGGTTTGTTATCCAGCTGTAGACATCGTCAGAGTCAATGTTGGGAAAATATTCGACAATGGTTTTT